GATATCTCGAGTCGAGAATGTGACTTAAGCGGGAAAAATATCTCTAAACATAAAATAAACATTCAGAAAATGTTTGATCATCCTAATTCTATGATCGAAGCATCACGACTACATTAAACTATACATTGAAGTTTCGAAATTGATCCTTTTAATCGCGATACGAACGATCATAGATTATAACAAGCTTTCCGACGTAATATCGGAAACTCGGCTCTCGACCCTAACACTCTGTAATTATATTCTATACACTGACTATTTGCATGTTATGAGATAATGTAGTATAAGGAGCGCACAGAGAAGAGAAGAGAGAGATGCGAGTGTCTCGAAGGAGGACTGAATTACTGGAGAGGCAAAATGCTCTTATAGCGACATTCGGCGAGAAGGTCGCGTAGCTATTTGTAATTGTAATTAGCAAGCTGGCTAATTCATTACGTCACCAAGAAATATACGACGCGCGGTATACTACTTAATTACAAGAGACTCTAATAAGAGAAAGCACGAAGATATTAATTATCGTAAGCACCGATGTATGATGCGACAAATCATTGCATCTTGCTATGAGAGGCGTAAAAAAAGAAAACTAAAAGTGCTCTAATAACAAGAAAAGGCGTGTAATAGCTATGTCGACGCGCAGAAAGAAAAATACAGAGGAAGAAAAAGAGAAACAAGAAAATGCAAAAGCCTGGTAACATTTCTTGTACAGGGATCTCAGATGTATTTTTAGATTAAACACGTATACGCAATGTTATATGTTTTCTGTGCTTTTTTCATATCATAAGCATCTAAACAGCAACAAAATTTCTTTTTAAGAAAAATATTTTTAAAAAATATGTAAAAATTAATATTTTCCAGTTAGATAATATAATTCAACTATATTCGAGATTAAAAACGTGATTTTATTAAAGAGTAACAATAAAGAAAAATATTAATTTTTTGGTATTTTCGTTCAAAAGAAAAATCTACTGCAGTTGATGTTTTACCATATATGTCCATGTATGAAAAAAAAAAATATAGAAAACATATGCCATTGGCTATGCGTATTTAATCTAAAAATATACGTAAGATATTTCCAATTCTTATCCAAATATATATATTTAAAAACTGAATACTGATAAAACATCATATAAAAAATAAAAAATATCATATAAATGAAAAGCATCCAATCATAAATGTATAATTAAAATCTTAAATATGAAGTTAAATCAAAGAGAAAGAGAAATATGGGAAATTTAAAACACCGTATAATTGTATAAAGATAAAGGTACTATTTTATGAAAAATTTTAATTAATATACATATATATTCGATCTTCCACTCTATAGCGAAATAAGATGACGATTCTAGATCAGAAAGTCTCAGACTAACGAGCTGAGTCGCTTTTGAAATTCAAACATAACGAGCTGAGTCGAGCTGAGTATAACGTCAGTACATAGAACGAGATAAATTTGCGGAATCATGTTGGACGGCTCGAGAATGTCACCGTTGTCATTTGGGAAAAAATACTGCGACAGGCCGCGACATGCATCGTACGAAAAGTAAGAGAACGTGTTAACGAAACTAGCGTGTTAGCGAGCATGTCGTTTAACTGCTGTTCTTAATTTTCACAATTTATCTGTTGAGTGGATAAGCTAGCCTGTCTTATTTTGTGAACATTTGTTAGCCCCTTTATAGCCTTTAGAATTATAAACACAACGCCCTGCATTTCGAACAAATTGGTAGGAGATTACAAAGGAATCTAACAAATAATAACTTTTCTCTTATCATTTTGTATAAGTTACTTTATTATTCTTTCAGTAATTTTGACAAAACTGTAATTTTTAATTAACATAAATTTCGATGACAATATGGAATTATTTATTGTTAATAACTTATATACCCTAATAATGAATATAATATTATGTTGAGTATTAATAAATGAACGATTAAGAAAATTTTTAAATAGTTTAGTAATATCTCTTTGATATTTATGTTGCTTGAGATGTTAATGATAAACTTTACCTTAAAAATATATTTATATATTTTGTATATTTTGTATACATATGAAATGACGAAACCACGAGAAGAGTTTATAAATGTGGCAGCTTTCAGCACTCGGAGTAGAAACGGAAAAAAGCAGCACGGCATGACGCTTTAAATTATGTAAAAATAGGATGCAATTACAAAACTGCACATATTCACTTTTACCTTTATGTTTTTGGAGTTATTTTCTGCAACACGTATTATGATCAACAACCGTACAAGATCTTTTAATTTCTCGCTAAAGTTTAATTTTTATAAATATATTTAATTATTTCTCTTTAATTCATACTATAATAACAAAATAATTCGCGTATAAACACAGGGTGTTACTTCTCGCATTTGTTTTAATAGCATGAATTTCGAATTTTTTGATAACAATCGAGATAACAATTTTTTAGATTACTTATAAAAGAAAATTAATTGATTAAATTGGGAAGAATAGAGTAATTAATTAACAATTAATTTAGGGTTTTGTAATTTTTTATGATTGATAAATTCGAGAAATTGAATCGGAAAATACATTCAATGAAGAATAATTTTAAATTTAAATTCTCATTTATTTCATAATATATATGTTCTATTCTGTATTTTCCAATCGTTTATGTTCTGTGCAATTATAGATATAATTTGTGATAAATATTTGCGTTCAAATAGCAAAAATTAAATTTAAATTATTTTATCACACTTCAATTACAAGAAAAGAACGCGAGAGCAAAATGAAAAAGAGTATAGTCGTATTTTATTATTATCGTTGCAGAGAAGTTTCTACGACGCAACGGTTGTAAAAGTAAAAGAAAGTACGCTGTAATTTTGATTACGCGTAATCTGTCATAGTCGTTTAAGCAAGAATGATCAGACGACATTAGAATGCAAAACTTACATAAAAGTGAACCAGCGAAAGAAAATGAAAAAAACAGCATAATTGTTTTAGTTTCAGATAAATATTCCAAGTGAATAATTTACAAAATTGAATAGTAAAATAAAAATATAAGCAAAAAATACCTACAGAATAAAAAAATTATAATAATTCTTAAGAAAAATTTGCCATTTAAAAAATCGATTTGTGAAAATTGTTAATCTTCATAACTTCCTAAGGAAAATATGTTTTCTTACGGAGTAAAATGCAAATCGCGTAAATCCACTGATACATCTCGTCTATTTCGTCATCTTTGTATATGTATAAGTAAACATCTTACGTATATACCTCTAAGGCTTCCTCCAGGGCATAATCTTATCCTATCAACTAGTTAAATTAAACTACCAGATCTGGCCTTCCACCCAGGTTAGTTACCAATTGCAGGATGTATGTATATCGATTTACATATCGATGCTCATAAAGTGGAACCTAGTTTATGATTTATCGCAAAATGAAATTTGAAATGCTATACCGCGTTTAAAAACAGATATGTAAAGAAAACAATATTAACAGCGGCAACATTATCATCATAATTAATGAATACGTTACGGTGGAAAAATAGAGAAGATAATATAAACGTTACCCGATATAAACCGGATGACGTTTACAACTGACCTGTCGCGGAATTCTACTACGAGATATTCTCTTCGTGAATGAAACGCGCGCCGCGAAACTCGCGGAGGGAGAAAAAATGCGCGCATCTTCCGCGTCTTCAAGAAGCTCTCTTCCACGAGGATAGTCCTCTTCTCGGCGAGTTGCCTCGACGAGCAATCTCACGAAATTGCGCCGCGCGATTTCACGTCGTTCTGTCGACGTTACCGTTCGCATTCTCAATGTTCCTCTTTTTTCTTCCGAAAGTCTTTCGACTTTCATTTGACTGACGGAACAGAATGAGACGAGGAAGGATGAAAAAGTACGTGGTATAGATAAAAAATCTAGACTAAAAAGGAAAAACGAGAGAGTAATAAAAACGAATTTTATTCTTTTGCGCAGTCAATAAATTCTTTAAAAATCCTTTTTCAAACAATTTGTTAACACTGATAACGGATAACAGTAATTAGCCAATTACATCGATTTATGGATGTATTATATTATACATTTCACGCGATCTGCAAAGAATGAAAAATATTTTCCCCAGAAAGTTATTTAAAATTAAAATTTTATAAACTGGAGAGCTTTCAAAATAACAAACTTTATGTAATTCGAAAAATGCATAGTATAATAACTATGTATATTAATTTTAATTTTCTGAGCATGATAATCGCTTAAAATGCATATTATCGCCTAAAATGCATATATCACTAAATACATTACTGCCTATACTATAATGTACATTACTGCCATTGAAATATTTTCGAGCAGATACAATGTGCTTTCTGTTTTTCCTATTTCCGTCGCAGTTTCGTAAAAAAGTAGGCCCAGTGAGGATCAAACTTGAGCTCAAACTTCCATAACATATAGCGAGCTACATCGCCAAGTATGTCATTTAGTGACTCATTTGTATGCATGTCCAGCGTACTCTAGTTGACCGTAACTTACATGCTCCGATTTCATAGAAGTTTGCTGTAGAAAGTTTTATGATCTATATTTAAAGACAATTTCTAGTTTAGAGTTTCTTTCTTCAGACATATTTTTTATGAAATTTTTTTCTGGTAGCACGGTGTTAATTATAATAAGAAATAATAAAGTACACACACACACACACACACACACACACACACACACACACACACACACACACACATATATATATATATATATATATATAATACATATGTGCATACATTAAATAAAATATATTGCATACATTAAATAAAATATATATATATATATATATATTATATATATATATATATATATATATATATATAATACATACGTGCATACATTAAATAAAATATATTGCATACATTAAATAAAATATATTAGCGTAATAATAATAATAAGGTAAATTTTAATTTAATATAGCAGATAGAAATATAACTTCCCATTTGTACAAAATTAAACCGAAAATTATTATTATTATTATTACAGAGATTATTATTTGTAAAAATTTTATTACTCACCCGTGCTTTCGGCGTCTGCTTTAATCCAATGGCTGGTTGGCTGCGATTACTCTGCAAAAAAAAAGACGAAAATCCCGTTAACGAAATGATAAATTTATAACGATCAATATATTAAATGTATATTCACTAAATCATATATCGCTAGTATCGACCGATACTTTTAGTCAGAAAAGTAAAGAGATAAACCTCGATCAATCGTTGTCGTAAAATGCGCCATTAAAATATTTAAAAAAATTCGTTATAAAAAATTCATCTATACATATATTCATTTATATCCATCTATATTGCAATACCAAAGCATGCACATTTATGACAAGACATGGATAGGGCGATAGAAAACACTCGGATGGATGTTCCGATTCAAAATGCGCATTTCCGACGTTCGATCTCTGCCGGAAGAATTTATCTTTGCGCAAAAAAACAAGTCGCGAGTCGCGGCCGGAATCGTTTGTCTCCCTTTATAGTGCATACGAGAAGATATTTCCGGATCGCTGATAAATCCGATTCGGATAGCGTTCAAAGTGTCTCTTTACGCGGTATCGTCGCGGTGGATGCGCACGACGTTACACCAAAACGATAAATTCACGGTGAAATGTCGATCCGGATCGATATCGTCATTGCTGGAGAGAAATACGTAAATTTTAATTGTTACTCCGAAGACAGGAAGGAGGGAACCGCGCTAATGGACGGGCAAAATAACTCCGCATCGCGAACTTATTCCGCCAGAGTGACGAAGCGACCGAAACAGAGTCACGTACATCTCGCGGCAATTTAATTAAGCCGTCGCGCACGCCATATATTCCTGCGTTGATTAAGCTGTTTTCGGTGAACGTCGATATACGCGTTTCTATCCGTACTGATTGCGGCTACTACTGATTTGCGATGCGCTGATTCATCTCTTTCGCAGATGTTCGCTTGAAACGCCGTCAAATCTGTATCATTTTTTGCGCAATTTTTTTTCTCGTACACGACGGAAAAAATTCAATCTTATATATAAATTTAAAAGCACAGCTTATTTTATGTTTTCCTTAAATTTTTGAATTTTATTTTATATAATTTCTGTTGCAATATTTAAATCTGCAACAAAGATTAAATGAAAAAATATTAATATTATAATAATATTCTGAATTTAAGATTTATAAAATAACGAAAAAGACTAAATGCCTTTATTTTTGTCAATTTTACTAGCATAAATTTACAAAATAAAAATTTTTTTTATATAATAAAATTTATAACATTTACATATTTATTTACAAAAATTGATAGAGTGAACAATTTTTTCGATTATTACATCTTTCACTGAATAGAAAACAAAAAAGATTCTATATCAGCAAATAAGTCCCGCTATTAAGTAAATTCAGGATAATGTTCGCGCGACTTAATATTTACTGAAATCGTTTTCATCCTCCAAGAAATTCTTAGCATAATCTGCACCAGACATGTTGATTACATCAGATTTGCATTTAAATATCTTCGGATTGCAACTTCCTGTAGGAAAGCGGAAACGAGAGAGAGAGAGCATAGCACGGATCGTCAGTTTCGACGATTCGATGCCGCACCGATGATAATTAGCGCGCATTTAGCAGCATTTCGCTTGTCCAAAATCAGCTAACAGATATACTGAGAAACAAATGAGCTTTGTACGAGACGTGATAATTAAGCGGTTTATCCCGATTAATTCCGGATAATTACGCCTGGCAATTAGTCCAATTGCCGTGACTGTCCAATGTAGCATGAATGGCCGGGGCCTTACAGCTTCGGCCCTATACCCTACTTTACTACGTTCCGCAATTACTGCTCGACAAAACTGTGTTTACTCCCTTACAGCTCTCCCACATTCCTAGATTTTGCTCCGGTCGTCTTGAATCTCGAAAATTGCCTCATAAACCGAAAAACCGGACTTGAACGCTTTTCCCGGTTACATTTCCACTGAAACATCCCTGCCATCCAATTTAGACCGTCATCTGCATTTTATCACTCAATAAACGACCGACGAGGGCAAATTGCGCAGCCAAATATTTCCTCAGCTTCGTGTCTGTGCAAGGAAAATTTGACACTTTCCGGCGTTTTGCGACGATTGCGCTCCATCTCGTCATAAAATTACAGGAATCAGGATTATCTTAGATTTTCTGACGGTGTAATTTCGAAATTTCTTCGGCGAATTTTCACGCCAGTTATATCATTATTGTATTTATAATTATTCTTCATTTTCCGTCGCGCTTAGTTTACGTCACTTCACGTATATATACTATATAACGTAATGTTCTAAAATGACTCGACCTATTTCCGCAGTAATTGCGGATCGTCCAACTTTCTTAACCTGCTCATTATTTTCGACTTCCGTTCATTTTCTATCCTTTTATCTTTCTCACACCCCTTTTTCCGTTTCCTCCATCTACTTAATTGTCGAGAATGCGGTTTATGTCGAAAGTGTCACAAAGCCGAAGAAATAAAAAAAAGTCCTAAAAGAACTGAAAGAGAGAACGTACAAACAATAAGACAGGAACGTGGATGAAAAATCGCAGCCGCCTGGCGGAAACGTGTCGATGCAGCCAAACACCATCTTGCATTGCGAGTTCCGCCAAACGGACTTTTTTTTTCCTCACTTACGAATCTTCGCCTCGTGCGAGAAGTTTTGACGGGGCATTTATCGGCGAATTTATCGGCATCGCGGTCTATTAACTCGTAATGGCATTAAGTCAACCTGCCGATACCCGATATACCGTAAAATTATTTTCTGTTCGAACGCCCGAGTTACGCGGATTACGTGACAGCTTTGCACCGACTGCTTTTTTAATTGCATGCTTAATGACGACGCATAATCCAAGTTACGTTTCATAGAAAATGCATGGAGAGATTAGATTAATGAGTTCGCACGGAGTTGAATGAAAATCCAAAAGCAAATCAAATATATACAAGAAAGGAAAAACACGCTGTTATCGACAAAATATTGATAGAGAATAAAAAATATACAAAACAAAAATATATCTCATTTTTTTTTATTTTTTTAATTTAATTTTATTATTTTTTAATCACTCGAATCGATATATTTTATATATAAGTATTTTATTATTAATAATGAAAATCACGATATTAGAATTAATCAACTCTTTTATTTCAGAATAATTGCATCAATTAATTATTTTTTTATTTTGTAAGATTAAAAACTTTTTTATTTTTAAATTTGTATTTTATTTTTAAATTATTTTCCTCAAATCTTTATTTTTGATTTCACTTGACAGTTCGATAGAGTTGTCACACCGTATCTGAATTTGTACATTAAAGTATATTTTAAACAGTCATCATTTTATATTTGAGCAATTTTTCCTAATGCTACATGACAAAATGATTATGTTAATGTAGTTCTCTTACATATCGCAGTTAAAATTCTTTGATCGTTTTCTTATTAGCATTTTGTAATTTCCTGGCAAAATTCTTCCAATGTACATTTGTTTGGCGTTAGCGAGGTCCAAATCCGTTACTGATTGGTTAACAGACAAGGAATGGTTAGCCTAGATTGCTACTACGATTAATTCAGCCTTGAGTCAGCGCCAGGAGCGTTCGAATTGAAAACAAATCAATCCGATGGAATGGAACGTGGCGCGAGAGCTCCGAGTATCAGAACGCTCGGGAAATCCATTGGCGGGTCACGTACAAAGAAAACGGGAATTCCATTTCGCGGAGGAAACCTCTGCCGTCTCCGATGTGCCATTCGGATAATTATTCAGTCACAGCGAGTGCTCTAGACGGCTGTGATCGTAGAAAGAGGAATGATATTTGATTCCGTGGACGAGAGAGACGCTCGTTTTCGCTCTCATATACTGTTTAATACCAATTCGTCCAGCTTTTAACGTGATTCGTTTCATTCATCTCACATCCTTGTGTGTGCTCTCATTTCGCTCTCCCTTATAATATTTTAATAATTCGTAACTTTCATAACACAGCTTGATTAAGCGAGATTTTAATTTCCTATTTTATATATGCATAGAAATCAAACACGAAATTATGCACCAAAATGACAGGCTATATGGACATTGATGGATAGTCGGAAATTTTCCAGTAATATGTCTTTCATTAGAAATTAACAAAAATTCGTATAATAATTGGAAATACCGATATATGTATATATATAAAATTTATAAATTTCAAATATATTTTTTATAAATTTTATATATGTATATATATATATATATTTTTTTTTTTGCGAAATTGTATTTGCGATTGACGTATATATTGATCATTAATAAATCAATACATGATCAATTTAATTATATATATATATATATATATATATATATATATATATATATATATAATTCCATTTTATTTATTTCATTTATTTCACGATACATATTAAGACTATTTTATTTCTTTATTTCTATCTTTTTGATTGCGATTACATCCATCAGTGAGATTATACGAGAATTGATAAAAAGAACGAGAATGGATGTCAATACATTTGTGGTCATAACACCGCAAAAAAAGCAATAGTCTCTTAACTATTTTAGTACAACCCAATTTTTCTTCGGTCGCTACGGTATTGTCGATAAATTTTTAATTGCATTTGGTGCATGGTTTAGTTAGTGTTTTCATATCAAGCTTGCAGTAACCAAAGTGGATGAACTTTTGCTTGTAAATTTCCGCTTCAAACGCGAGAGACATTAATGGAACAATTTTTGCCTGTTCTCCGCATATAACACATGCGGAACAGCAATTTAAATATTCTACTTTGTGACATTTTGCCTCTTTGTATATTGTATCTCTTCATATATATGTATAACTTTTTTTTTGCTCAGCAGAATTATAAAATTATATATATATTATATTAAAAAATATTTTATTGATTCTTATTTTACAACTTTTAATAAACTTTTATAATGCTTTTATAATGTTTATATTATGCATGGACTTCATTAAGTTTTCTTAACTTAAAATTTTCTTTCTCACATATTTTATATTTTTAAATAAATGCTATAAATATTGAATAACAAAAAAAGTGTCGCTATTTATTTCGCTTTTATGTATATATATTTTGTTGTTCAAATGAAATT